ATATTTCAAATACTGCTTAAAAAGCCAAAAAGTGGTAATTTTAAGCCACAGATATGTGAGGGGTGTGTACAGGCTATGTGTTTTTTATGTCCCCCAGCTGTAAGATTTATTTATTTATTTGCAGAGATTATTCATTTTTTTATTAATAAATTCCTGCACCCAAAGGCCTGTGATTGCCACACTTGTTCTGCAATAAAATAAAACAAAACAAAATAAAAAAAAAAGAGGATTTTTTTTTTGTGGCTAATGGATATCTGACAACCATCTATTCAGCTGTTGATAAGTTATGGAAAACTGGAAAAGCCTCTCCATTTCCTAGAATTTAAAGCCAGCAAGGAGATATTTGGTCCCTGCATGCAGAAAATATCCAGATTATCAGGCAATGAAAGTGGATTAGGTCAGATCTGAACCTGTTGGCTTTATTAGATAATAAAGTCTGAAGTGATTGGACATGTACTCAGACCATTTTCAGCTGTGACAAAGTGGAAATTTAAGCAGAATATAGTGACAGCTTCTTGCTTTTAGTCTTGATCAGTACATGTTTTACCTTTCCAAACAGGCTGGCTTGGACTTGACTTCTTCTTAGACCAGCAGTTGACTAATGGGAAATGTTATGTTCAGTTTTGTGCAAAATGTAAAATAGTTTTGATTCCAAACTCCTCAGAATCAAAGGACATATTGAGTCAGGCAGCAGGTGTCTGCTGTGATCTGAACCTCTTGCAGCCCAGTCAAAACATTTCAAAGTGTAAGTTTTGTAGCAGCCCTTTTCCAACTTAGAGATCCTCAGCTGATACAGATATTGACTTGAATTTGCCAAATGCACTGCTAGACTTGACCCTCTAATGGAAAAATAGAGTCTTGGAGGAAAGAAAATTGCAGATCAAAGTGATGTTACCACCTCCGTTCTCGCAGAAATCTGTAGAGAACTTCCTTCTGACTCCTGAAGGCTCAAGAAAGAAGAGTTGTTGGAGATCACATGCTCAAGCTACTTGTCTTCTTTAGTTGCACTTTCAGCACATACCTCAAACCATTTGTAAAATTACTATGGGCATGCTGTAGCAGAATTGCCTTCAAGAAGGAATATCACAAGGCAGATGTACCCTTGTCTTTGTGAAGAGAGGAGGGAGTGAACAGCTAGAGAAGGAGAGTCAAAAAGCCTGGCTAAGATTTTCACAATTCCAGCTACTGAGGCTTGCTGTACACCTCCGAGGATGCCAGCACACAGAATAGCACTGTGCCAGCTTGGTACACTAGCCCTCATGTGAGTCCCATATTCAAGGAGAACTTTATGAGGCTCCAGTCCTTCTTGGTCCTTTAGGAAGGATACTGAGATAGAATTGCTGAGCACTCAGCTTTCTCTGGCTCAAGTATGTTCTTTGGAGCTTGCACGAAGGCTGGTTGTTGATTGCATCCTAGAACCATGTCTGAGAGAAATGGATCATTAAGCGGATTTCCATAAATGAAGCAATTTTTGTGGGAGGATGAGAAGCAGAGGGAGACAGAATTGCTCAAGAGGTACCTGCTGAGTTCATTTTGTCTTGCTTCTCTCTCCAGAACATTTTACCAGACAAAGTGGAGTTTTGAAGATGGAAACAGAGGGGGAGGCAAAACTAGTCCTTACTATGTGCAATTGGCCGATGCTTTGCCATGAGTTATGCATATATTACAATACCTGAATATACAGGTATATTTGAGAGCACTGAAAATAACTTTTTCACCTTTTTCTCACTCAAAATTAAATCATGTTGTCAGTGAACAATGTATAAATCATGCATGCCTCTGTATCATTTAAAGGGAAATTGTTGTCTGTAAGGAAAACTAAGTAATGAAGTTGTATTTAAAATTGATGATAATCACCTGTAGATGTGACATTTAAATCAGTGTTTTTGGCCAGTGAAAAAATAAATGAACATAGTTATCCAAATAATGTCTGTGTTTCTCCTCAATCCTGTCACTGTCCCATCTGTATGCCAACAGTATTGCTTTCATTTCCCAGTGTAGCCTGATAGGAATTTCACAGGAAAGCATTCCAAAATGTATGAAATCACTTTATTTTGGCTGTGATTCCATTTTTAAAAGAGCATTATATCATTTACCTACATCATGCAGGAAAAAGCAGCAGGCAAATCACAAATAAAATTTACATTCACAAAGTCTCTAAATCATCTGGCTGCTTGGAGGGCATTGCATGCATCTTAAAGAAAGCCGAGGAGCATTTCTATTAGAAAATGCATTGCTAAGTTGAATTTTGCTCTGTGTCTGTGAGAGAGAGAAAACTAGCTTTATTATTTTTTTTTTCTTTAAGACAGTTACTGAAACATTTTACTAACTGAGCTCACAAAGAAACATATATATGTCTTGATAACATATATCCAGCAGATACAGACAAGTTTCAGATACAGAGGACATTACGTTGAGGTCACAACAGCTGATTTCTAACAACGCCTTTGCTATCACAGTAAGCTTGTCCAAAAGATTTATTCAGCAGCATTGGTATGGTCTTTCTTGACAAAGGAGAGGGATTGGGAAGGATCTAAGCCAACACATGGTGGTAGAAACATAGACAGAGGGATTCCAAAGTGGTTCAGCACATGGTCTAGTCACTTGTTTTATTTATTTTTAACACAGAGTAGCATTCATAATTAATATTGCAGTCTGATTTCATATGGCTTTCTCTAAAGATAGATGTAAGTTCACAAAAGTCAATGACAAAGTAAATTATTTGCCCTCCAAAGGGTGGAGGCTTTAATTTATTTATTTTTTTCTAACTGGAGAGGTCCTGTATCTGTGAAAGAAAATGGCTGCAGTGCCTAGCCACCCACCTTTCTATGTAAAATGGTAATAAAAAGAGGAGACAACAACAACAAAAAGAAGACCTCATTACCTGAGACCAAGTAGGATGGAGATGTAAATAAAACAAATGGCATAGAAAGACACAGATGTGATGAGAATCCAAAAAATAAACGAGGCTCCTCTTTGGTCTCATGCACATGCTGTTGCGTGCTGGTGGGACACACCCAGGATGAAAGTGCTGAGCACTCCACGGAGTGGAGCAGAGCAGGGTGAGCAGCGCACTTTCCTTGACCTCCTGCAAAGTGGCCAAGGCACTTGGAGCACAAGGAAGGACCTGCAGATAGGTCCAGAACCCAAGGTTGAGGAGGAAAAACTGGCAACACCTGCTCTGGGCATGCAGTGCATCTTCTGCCATGTTTCTTTGTTAAAGAAAGAAGAGGAAAATTGAAAAGGAAGCCACCAGCTCCCATCTGTCCAACCCTCCCTTCCCGACTCCCAAGCTCTGGAATGGTGTTTGACTGGATGCGGAAAGGAGTCCATGGTCATGGCAAGAGAAAGGGAGAAGAGTAAGGGATGGAGAAAAGCCAAGGCCAAGCAGCGTGGCCTCATCTTTTGCAGGAACCTTTCCTGACTTGCCAGTAGTGTCTTCCAGGGCAAGTCTAGAGGAGAAGATAAATGGAGGCATCGTCCTAGCAGACACAGATTTATGCTGAATGTGCTTGCTTGTAGGAGGACACAAGAGACTGAAACTGAAGCATTTCAGAAGGCAGCAGTCCTTTCGTGCCACTAGGACCTGGGCTAGGAGACCAGCACCAGTGAGAGGCTGAAGCAAAAGGCCAGGACACCTGCCTTTTTGTTTGCAAGGCTGTTGAATTAGCTCTCTCCCTGGCAGAGTATCAAAAAAAGCTTCAGGAAGAGATTCTTTTTTTTTTTTTCTTTTTCAGTTCTTTGACGTCTACTTTAAATGGGCTCAAATCGGTGGCTACTGAATTTGCATGGCGTGAACAGGACACTCTCCTTAGAAAACAGTAAATTGCTTAACACTGCTGTGATATCCCCAAGAATTAATACAGAGGTAAAAAGTTCTCTGGGTCATAGAGTCTTAGGGGGAGACACTCACCTTAATTTAAATGAAACTTTGGAAAACAAAATCAACAAAATCAACAATAAAAACAAAGAAAAAAATTGACATGATTTGTCAAATGAAAAAGTAAAACATGCTTTCTCTTTCCCCTGGGAATCCCTTTACAACTTGCACATGAATTGGATATATCTTTTTTGTGGTCCCAACTGACATAAGTTGAATGTCCCTGACCTGTCTGAGCTGAAGGATGTCATTCCTTTAGCCTCTGCTTTGGGTTCAGGGGAATGATAGCTAAAGCCAGTAGGGAGCCAGCAAAGACTGCCAAACCTGCATAAATATCAGGGAGAGGGATAAAACATAGGACATAATATAGTGGGAGGGGAGAAGGATAAAATGTATTTCATCTCTTTTATCAAAATTTTTCCCTTCTGCAGGAGATGCTGATAAAAGGCACAGAGTTCATCAGCTCACTGCCTTAAATATGGCATGGATTGCTGCTTCTTACCTAAAAGAGATAGTAGGTGTCTTTATAAAATCCATAGTTGAGAAAGTGCTTATATATTTGTCTAACTTCAGCTTGGCGGAACAAGTATGTGAAAAAAAAAACCAAGAACATCAAATAGTTCCACTGATGTAAAATTCTTAGTTTTTGATGCTTGATTTAGCATCTATGATTGCTTTCCTTTCTGTTGGAAGGGGAAATTGTGCATGTGGTCCTAGATCTGTTCTAGCTGTTTGGGAAAATTTAGTGCTCCCGTGGGAGGGGATTTGATTAATAGGTATAACTGCATGAAGGGAGACTGTAGGGAGGAAGGGACCAAGCTCTTCTCAGTGGTAGCCAGTGACAGGACAGGGGGAAATGAGTGTAATCTGAAACACAGGAAGTTCCCTCTCTAGGTGAGGAAGAACTTCTTGACTGTGAGGGTGACAGAGCTCTGGAACAGAATGCCCAGGGAGGCTGTGGAGTTTCCTTCTCTGGAGATCTTCCAAACCCAACTGGATGCCACCCTGTGCCACCTGCTCTAGGTGTGCTTGCTGGAGCAAGGGGGTTGGACTAGAAGATCTCTAGAGGTTCCTTCCAACCTCAACCATTCTGTGATTCTGTGAGGGACACACAGTGCTAGGTCTGCCAGGCAAACTGTAACTCTCCTACTGGATGCTGAGACCAAGGTGGTGTAATGTGTCCACACCAGCCATTGCAGAGACATGGCAGAGAACCAGAAACTCCAAGATCAGCTCTTCAGATAGTAGGTCTTATGCCTGATGATTAGGGACTGTGACCAGAATGTCTGCCTATATGTGAGAGTGAGTGTGTCTCTGTTTGTGTGTGTGCACTTGCTAGTCAATATCTCCAGGGGAATTTGTCTTTTCTTGAACAGTTCCTCAGTACCGGCAAGCTCTGTGCTGGGAAGCCCTCTAAACGGGTGTCTGGGAAAGGCTTCAAAGATATTGGTCAGAGAGATATTTCTTCCCAGCTTACTAGCATCAAGGGATGCTGCACATGCTACTAATGCAGCTCAGCTCCTGCGCAGAACTGCAGCAGTGGTTTGCAATCCACCCTTACATGATCCTTTTCTGACAGATATGGATTAACACCTATATTCAACAGCTGGAGAAACTGAGGACAGAAAAAATACTGAAACCTCCCCAAGGCACTGGAGGATTTTAGCATGAGAAGGAGGAGGTGAGCTCTGAAGTCCTCCATCTCCAGGGCCATTTCCAGCTCTTGAGCCCACCCATCTCAGCCACACATGGAGGGGCACAGAGAAGCAGGATGCAACAGTAACAAGATGCAGGAGCTCCATGTCCCTCCTGCAAGCACCTCTGGGAACGGCATGGCTGAGTATGGCCTTGGGCAGAAGGAGAAGGCCGGCCAACAAGAGGAAGCAGCCGCGCTGAAGGGCAGGTGGCTCGGGAGGGACGGGTAGGTGCTCCAGCAGAACACCACGTGCCCACTACGGCTCCCACTCTCAGTATGGCACCCGTCAAGACCCAAATCTGCGCTTTCAAGTTAAGGGTATGGCTAATTCCCAAAGCAATGTGACTTTTGCTTAGATTTGGAGGCATTTAGCTCCTATAAGGAACTGAGGGCGGGCAGCTCAGCACTTTCACAGCTCTCAGGAATGCTGGAGACATAAATCATACATGGTTTGTCTCACAAATGGTCTCTTGGCTATGCCAGTGATGGCATAAAAGTGGAAAAAAAATTGGTTCCATGGGAGAACTGAGACATCTCTTCCAAGGGAATATGTCCTCAGCAGCAAATGACTAGGGTGGCCCAACCAACAAGAACATTAATAATGATAACTTGATTAATTCTCAATATTAATAATAAAAAAATGAGATAATTAAGGAAAATTGAAGGGGCCACTGTTCACACTCAGTGAACACTCCTTCCTGCTTTGGATGGAAACACATGTGAGGCTGTTCTTTTTTCTTTTTTCTGCTAAATGTACAGTTGCCTATTTAACATATATAGTACTATGGCTTATAATAAAGGTTGTGTAGATTGCAGCTTAATAATCCTTACATCCATTCAGAGGCGCCTACTGGATGTGGCTATTTACAAAAAAGAAGGAAATAAGGAGGGTACTGGGTGAGTCCGGGGTGGAGGGCAGGTGGGGGCGGCCAGAGGGAGCTGGGTAGGTCCTAGTGAGCAGCGGAGGTGGGCGGGCGGCACGATGGATGGCAAGGTTTGATATCCCCATTGGGCAAACGAGAAGTTTCGTTGCGGTACTGTTTGTGCCAGTCTGACAATCTGCGGTGACTACTTCTTGAACATGTCCTGCAGGGGTCCCGGGAGGTATTTGATGACCGTGTCCAGGATGCTCTCCTCTTCCTCCTCCTCCTCCTCACCGCAGCCAGGTGGGATGGCCTTTTTGGGGCGAGTCAGGCTGCCTTCTGCATTCGCTTCCAGTGCGGCCTGGGCCTCGGCCTCCTTTTCTTCCTTCTTCTTTATCCCGTACTGCAGGGAAAGAGAGCACAGCGGCCATCAGCAGGGCCGTCAGCGCCCACCGATGTGAGCAGGAATTTGCTGCAAAGCCAACCCAAACCCTCCCATAAGACTGAGAGCAGACCCAAAGTCCCTCACTTTCTGCAATAGACGCATTGTTGTAAAAAACGCATGCTTTTGCTCTTACTCACAGAGGCCAAAATGAACATTGCCCTAAATATATACATCTCAGTGGGCTGGCAGCACTCATTAGACAAGATGGTCGGTGATCATGGTGAACAAGCAAAGGAGCAAATCTTGGGCAATTCAGCCATACATCCAAAACAGGCAGCACATGCTTTTCTCTAATACATTTGGGAGTGTTGTATTTTACTAGTAGTGATCTTCCTCTCTTCTGCTAAGAAATTTGACTGCTCAAGTGCATCAAGAGCAACAATCATGGAGTAATGTCTAAGGGATATTATGGGCAAGGTCACAGATGTGGCAAAAAAATAAGCAGTAACGAAAATGAGCAAGCAGGACAGGACAGAAGGATGGAGAGATTGCAGTGAAAAAGAGACAGTTTTCATCTTTCATGTGTGTGAGATGTTTTATATGTCCTCTTCTCTGATCCTTTGGTATAAATGGGACAGAAAGACCTCACAGTAAAAATGAAAGCTTCACGAGAAACCCTATTCACACATCAAATTCTGCACTTTTGGGGGTACAGCTGACTCATACTGCTTGGAGAGAAACATCCTTAAGCTAGGAAGTGGAGTGGATAACTGAGATTTGCTACTCTCGCTGAGAAATAAAGTAATTCAACTATGACTTTACATCATTAGCCAGAATCTCATTTTATGGTTTTATATTAAGGACCTTAGATTTAATAGAAATTGGAGATGTGCCTGAGTGAATCTGACCTAGGCGAGAAGTGCTGCAGTGACTAGGACTTTCTTTCCAGTTTGTATTTTCAAGGCATCACCAAACAAAATTTCTGCACTACCAACCCACTCAATACTCAGCTTGCATACACCTCATTAATTCTCCATTGTTGCTGCTATTTCCAGAAATTTCAGAGATTTTGTAGGTTGTCGTTTTACGTGCTAAAAAAAAATAAAAAAGAGCAATCTGTCACATATAATACTGCGGCAGCAAGTACAGCAACTATACATGTAGGTTCCTCTTTTTATTACTAATAATCACTTCAGCTACATTAAGAAGGCAGTGGGTAGAGAAAGGACCTTTGGGATGAAGATGAAAGTCATTCACATTTGCTGTAGTAGGAACACTTGCCTCTATCAAGTGTGAAATAATTGCAGTGTAAGAGCCATACCTCTATTCGTGCCTTCATTTAAACTAAAATACCAAATGGAATTCATATAGCTCCTTCAGTACATAGGGACTAAGAAGATGCCTGTAAAGGCCAGCAAAATGCTTTGCAGGAATAAGAATTTTTGAAATGAAAACTATGTATGGTTTCAGGAAAGATCAAAGAATCATGCTGGTGCAAAGTGCTAAGCATTTTTTTAGTATCTTTAGTACAGTACTGCTGAATAGACATGAACTAAATGTTCTCATTATTTGTTTGGTTTTGGTTTTTTGTTTCTTCCATTATTAAAAAGCCAATTATTTACCAGCAATGCAAAAAAAAAAAAAAAAAAAAAAAAAAAAAGCCTTGCTGCTGTCACAGCTTTCAAAACGGCTTTCAGGTTTGGCAAGGAAATCCTAAATATTTCTGAGTGAAGAAAATATTTTTGCTTCCTTTCTCCAACCTCATCCTATTTAGTATTACAGCTTGCAAGGGTGAAATAGTAATTTGAAAAACAAACAAACAAAAAAATCTAATTCTCTGAAGTAATTTCTTCCAAGCCAAAATAGTCGTTAAGGTAATTCCCTAGTGATTTTGATACCCAGTGGATGTTGTTTATGAGTGATTTCATGGGGAAGGTATTTAAGACAAATGACGTTTCAGTCCAGATCTGAAGCAAAGGAAGCATCTGACTGATTTGAAGGCATATGGAAGAGAAGCTCCCATGGTGTAACCAGCCTATGGTGCAGGCAAGACAGCTTGCATGGCAAGACTGGGTAGCATCATGGAGGGCTGCCCATACACTGTTTCTCTGTCTGGAACCATAAACAACAATCTCTATTGTTTCCCATTGCAGTTTACCCACGGATTTGACCTTCTATGGCCAGCTGGAGAAGAAGGATAGTAATGGAGACAATGCCAATTGTAACAGCACTCAGATCCTCTCAAATCCTCCATCTCAAAGCAAGGGCCAACTCATGACAATTGATCATCCAGATCATGAACTGGATAAGCAGACAGAATGAAAACAAGAAAAAAAGACTCAAGTGTTGCTGTGTGTGGAGACAAAGGCAGCTTGAGAATCATAGAAAAGAAGGAGTACTGTCCTTGTCAGCATTTCTCTATGGTCCTGGGTACACTCAGGGTGAGAATATTGAGCTGTATGGACATCAGTTTTTACAAGACACTACCAGCCTTGTGTAACAGCTGCATCCCTCACACTTCTTCCCTGGTCCTGTTTGCGGGAAGGCTTAAGCATTTATTTTGGCAAGTGCCCTTTGAAATTAAATTCTTTGATAGCTCTTTCTGCCAGGCAGCTCCATCCTGCTGCTTCTGGCTCACAAATTTCTGCAAAAGCATCGGGTAATTCATCCAACCTGGATTTTACAGCTGTAAATTCAGACAGTTTATCAAAAAACTAGAGACCATAAGTGAGCCCAGCATATGCAAATGTGCATATGTGCAAATGACAACAGCATAGGACCAAACTGTTTGATCAGGGAGAGACAACACAATTCTTGTTGGCAGAGACACTACAACAAGAAGAAACAAGCCATTGACTAATTATCACATATAATACCCAGACAGGAGATTGTTTCATTTGGACAAAATATTCTTCTTCTGGAGAGCAATGGCATTCCATCAACAGCTTTTTTTTATGAGAAAAGATTGCCATTATCATGTATCAAAATGTTAATCGTTTATGAGAAAGTATCAGTTTTGAATAAATCATATTCTCATTTAAATTTGGTAGTATTTTTAACGGTTTTCATTAATCAAAATATAATATGACGTTTGGTAAGTGAATAAAATGACATTTTCCAGGTTCGAAATTGTTTCAAAGAAAATCTAATTGTAGGAATGAAATCCATAGGATAAAATAGGAAAACATTAGAAAAGGCATGTTGGAGTTTTGAAATGAAATATCTTAGTTGAAATGTGGAAATAGCTTTAAAATATAAATAAAATAATCCCCACAATGAACTGTTTTGGTGTTCTGATTTGCCTGGGGATGAGAAAACATTTCAGTAACTCCAAAAGGAAGATGAAGTCAATTTCATATTTATGTTCTCTCTTAGTCCAACCTCTAAAATCTTGACTGATTTGGCCATCGTATAGTTAGTGATGTAGAAATGTGACGTAAAGAGGCATTTTAACTATGTGAACTTCTGAACTTCAAGTCATTACGATGCTGGTTGCATAAGAACAGTGTTGCAGCAAGTGCCAGTAAATTAGTGAAGAGAGGGTTGCTGTATATCCCTGAGGAGAATATGGTATTCTCTCCTAGTCCTCTGGAAGAACTTTGTAAATTGTGCGGCCTACCTTTGCAATTTAATGAATGAATGCACACTACCCACACATTTCAACATATCAGTTGTGGTATATATTTGATGATTAATAAATATACAACATGCAACCTACTGAGAGCTATTGTGGAAATATGTTTATTGTCAATTGCTAGATAATTTCATCCAAACATATTATGTATTTTTGAGCTGTCTTTGAGCTACAGCTTGTATAGCTTGTGTAAGAAGTGGCAAATGATGCTATCCTACAATGTTATTCCTAACTTTCAGTTTACTTTGTCCTAGACAAATGAATAGGGATATGTCTGGTAGGAACTGACTAGATTTCCTACTGGTCAAGTGACCCTGCTAGTCATATAGGAACTGAGCAAGTGCCGTCCTGAATTCAGACAATTTTTTCATACCTTCTGGTTATATCAGTGAGGATAGCCCAACTCTTTTTTCCTTTGAAGCTTAGAAATTCCCTTCTAGCACTTACTGAAAGCATGGGCTTCCTCACATGTTATTTCAGCTCTCAGCAATGCACTGCACTGAGATTTCAAATCCCAGAATTCATAGTTTACACAACAACCAACATTACAACTGAGAGAAGTTCAGAGAACAACTTCTGATCACAAATCACCTGTGCATCAGCTTGCCCACAGAAGGCCCAGAGTGACCTGGATTCCTCAGACACCAGACAAAAAGAGTGGGAGAAAGATATCATGGTGCTTGATGCACCAGCAGTTACTGTTACCATATCAGGAAAAGACAAGGCTAATAAGGCTCCGCTCAACTTCCTTCCTATCTCTTTACTTATTCTTCCTTGTTTACACAGGAGATAGGTACAAAAAGTAGATGGATATGGAAATGTACTGCCTGACCTATTGTAAGAGGATATTTCAGTCTAATAGCAGTAAGAGTATTGAAGAAAAGGCAGAGTGATGAGCCAAAGTGAGTCTGAAATGGCAAACCACCACAAATACACTTCGCATTGCGTATGACAAGACAAGTGCAAAAAAAAAAAAAAAAGTTCTCTGAACATGAATGTATCTCTCTGTCAAATAACTAAACCCATAGGCTGGATAATGCAATAACATTACAGAAGAGACGGCTGTAGAAGAAGTGACAAGTTATTCCCTGGGTCTTGGAACTGAGTCTCCAGGAAGAGAATTGCAGTGAAGGACAAAGTGACCAATTATCCTTGGGTCCAATTTGGAACTGACTCAGTATATAGCAGCAATCTATCAGAAGAACTTGAGGACGTAGAGAAAACCGTGGTGATAGAGTTTTCAGGGGGATAGCAGGAAAACTCAATGACCATAGGGGAAAATGTGGGGAGAAGTTCATTGCAGAGGAAGCTTGTGTCTGAGAATTAACTGCTGCCAAGGCAGAAACTCTCATCATTAACATGCAAGGTGGGACTGAAGACCTTA